CCCAGGACAGCCCAAGAGGGCCCCAAGACGGCCCAAGAGGCGCCCAAGATGGCCCAAGAGGGCCCCAAGACGGGCCCAAGAGGGGGCCCAGAGGGGGACCACGAACCGCAAGCTCGAGCCTTCCGCCCCAAGAGGCCGCCAGGAGGCCCCCAGGAGGCCCCTCAAGAGGCCCCAGGAGACCCCAGACGTCCAAGGACGCCCCCACGACGCTTCGCGTCACCAATTTCTTCTCACAACGATTCCTGGGTCTGTGACTCGACAGAACCTAAGCGCGCGCGAAGCGCGCGCGTGGCTCTAGTATATATATATATATATATATATATAATATATATATATATATATATATATACATATACATATATATACATACATACATACATACACACACAAGACTGCAGTGGCGCTGCGCGCCATGCGCCTAGGTCCTTTAGAGTTTCGCACGGTTTAAATATACAGATGTACTGGTAAGTACATGTATCTGCATATGGTCTGTGTAATCATGTGTGCGCATACACAATCGTATCTCAGGCGGCAGTGGCCTGACCAGCTCCTCCGGGCATCTCGCAACTCAAAGGTGCGAGGGTATCAGGCGAAACTGGCCAGAATACCATGGTCCTTCAAGTTGAGCAGCAGGCGGGAAGACATATATGTACACAGTTAAAGAAAGCGGTAACGCCTTGTTGCCGTTGTCGTGGTTGTCGATCTGACAGTGTCTTCCATTCCCTATCCTTCCCTTCCCTCATCCTTCATGTCCCGCTCCTTCGCCGCCAACCCGAGCCGAGCCGAACTTAACCGGTGGGCCGGCCGAGCCGGCGGGCCGGTCGAGACAGGGGCGACGAGGACGACGACGACGACGTCCACGATGACGACGACGATGAGGAGGAAGAAGAGGAGGAGGAGGAGGAGGAGGAGGAGGAGGAGGAGGAGGAGCAGAAGAAGCGAAACATACGAGGAGGAGGAGGAGGCTGAGAGGAGGAGGAGCAGAGAGCGCACAAAGAAGGAGGAGGAACAGGAGGATAAAGGGAAAGAGAAGGAGGGAGGCGGGGAAAATAAGGATGAAGGAAAAGAAATCTTGGAAGGCTTCTGGGGGCGCCATTGAAGCTGAGCTTTGGGTGCCCTGGTGTTATGTAGCGTTTTGGAGCCTCTTGGGAGTCTTCTTGGGGCCCTTGTGGATCCCTTTTAGGGCTCTGTTGGGGTTCTCTTGGGTCGTCTCGGGGCCGTTTTGGGCCGTTTTGGGGCGTCTTGGAGGCCTTCGGCCGTCGTGGAACTTTCCTGGCGGCGTCTTGGGGCCCTCTTGGGTGCCTCTTTGGGCGCTCTTGGGGCTCTCTTGGGCCCGTCTTGGAGCCCTCTTGAGCTGTCTTGGGACTCCCTTGGATCGTCTTCGGGCTCGTAGGGGGGCCTTTTGGCTTATCTCGGGGCGATCTTCGGAGCCTCTTGAGCCGGTTCGAGCTGATGGTTGCCAGAAAAAAAGGGGAATCAGAAAAACTGTTGAAAACCATACAAAAATCAATGACGTGTCCCTCTTGGGGCCCTCTTAGGAAGCCTCTTGGAGGCTTCTTGGGGCGTCTCGGGGCCCCCTTGGACGGTCTTGGGCGTTCTTGGGGTATCTTGGAGCGCTCTTGGGCTGTCTTGGAGCGCTCGTGGACCATTCTTGGAAGTACCTCGGGCCGTTTGGGGCGCCTCTGGGACCGCCCGAAAATCTAGGGGAAGGCCGAAACTCGTTTTGGGGGCGGGGGGTCCCGTCCGGGGCCCGCCCGGGGTCCCCGGCCTTAACAAGTATATGAATCTGGCTTTCTATATATCTATATATATATATATGTGCACACATACACACAGATCTATATATATATATATATACATACATACATACATACATACACACATATAGGGCGCGCGGGCATCTCGGCGCCCCTGCGTTTTTTTTTTTGTCAACGTCATCATTTGAACGAATCACTTAAAATGTAACGCCCCCTCGCATAGTGCATATGTATAGGTATGTTCATATAAATATAAGAGCATGCGCGCGTGTCTAAACGCACGCCCATCTCCCCATCTGACTGAGCATCTACCGTGCAAAGCAAAACTTCCACGCGCGTGGTCTTCAGATGCCCGCGCGCCCAGTCAGAGCTAGCGCGAGCGACTCAGGCGCCCCCTCCGCCAGACTGACCTGCCGACGCCTAATCAAATCACTCGCGCGCGGCCCAAGCTCCCGCCTGCCGCGGCTAACCCCAGCATCACGTCCGCCATCTTGTCCCCAGCGTTCACGTAGCATGCGTGCTCGTACATGTCCAGCTCGGAGATTTTGAGGGCGCTGTATCGGACGCGCGACCAATGCTTCAAGCGGTTGTTCTCGCTCTCAATGTCGTTGGAGTGCCGCCCCGTCTCCGCGTCGCGCCACCCGACCTCGTGGACCACGGGGGGCGCGCGTCTGAAACCCAAGTCCTCGGCAGCCGCCAGCGAGCTAGGCCAGCCATCGAAAACCGATATGCTTTTCTTCGCAACGTGCTGCTCGATGGTCTTGCGGATCTCCTCGAAGCCGCGAGGCTTGCCCCTCTCCGCGCTGCGGCGGGATGGGAGGAATCGCCGCGCGACGCGCTTCTCCCCGCTGCCGCGCGCCCACTTCTCCGCCCCCTTGCCGACGGAAGCTGCTGCCCGCAACTGGCGGCCGTTGGAGCGGGGATCTGCGCTCGTGCCCTGCGCTCCCCTGCGCGCGGCCGGCCGTTTCATGATCGCCTTCTTCGCCTTCGTGGCAGCGGGTCGTCTCTTGACGACGTTCCTCTTGCTCCCGATTGCCCCCGCACTCTTCATCGGCTCGTCGCCCTTCCAGATAGCCCGCGCGGGGGGCGTCTTGGCAATGCGCGCGCGGACCGTGGGCCGCGACCGTGTGCCAGAACGGAATCGGTGAGCCCCTTTGCGAATTCCTTTGCGGGTGAAAGACTCGAGGCCGTCGTCGGGGCGGGCGCCCGCGACCGCCTCGTCCACGACGACCGCGTGGTCCGGGCCGCCGATCTTCATCAAGTCTAACTGCTCGGTGGCCTTCTTCAGCCCCCCCTGGTGCGTGTCCTTCCACCTGCGAAAGTTCTTGTCGCTGCAATTGCCCCGAGCGGCCCGCAGCTCCGCGTGCATCTTGCGCAGAGGGATGCCAGCGCGCAGAAGCGCGATGAAGTTCAGAAACGTCATCCACGACCCCACTTCCACTTTCTAGAGCATGCCGACACCGACGACTGCCGCGCGGTAGTGCTTGTGGCCATGGGACGAGCGCGCCCGCTTGAAGCGAACCTCGCCGTTGTCGGAGCGCCGGCTTTCTTCCAGCACCGCGGGGGCGTCGCGCGCGGGGCACTTCTTCGCGACGTCGACCAAGCCGCAGTGCGCAAAGATGCCCGTGGCCCTCTCCTCCACGGCGTTAGCGTCTCGGGGAAGTCAACCGCGGCGTAGACAACGCTGGCGAGGAAGCCAGTCTGAGTTTCGAACCACTCGCGGACGGCCCGCCGCCATCGATTGAATGGCAACGTGGGCGGGGGGCGCCGACGAGGCCTGGCGCGCGCGCGAGCCGCCCCATTGCTACGACCTCAGGCGCATAACGTTCGGAGGAAGCCCTGCCTCGAGCTGACGCGGCGGCAGGCGACGACGATGGCGAACAGACGGCGACGACGATTCCGATGGCGATGGCGATGGCGGCGGCGACAACGACGGAGACGACGATTGCTGTGGCATGGCGTTCTCACGGGGGTTCTCGCTCCCAATCTGGGGTGCAGGGGCAACCGCATCATCTGCGGCAATCGAGCATGGCGAAGTTTGCATGGGCGACCCTGGCGCCGAATTACTCATGTCCGTGCCTCAGGGCGCGCGGGCTCAGGGCTGGGTCATCTTTGTCGGATCCGTCGCAATCCTCGTCGGGGACCGCGTCCAAATCAGCGATGCTGAGGCGCCCGGACAGGGGCAAATCCATGCTCCAAGGCGCTTCCGCGGATGAGGTGGAGCCGGGCGCGTCTTCGTAAATGTCTTCGATCTCATTGTCGTCGGCATCCTGCATTTCCTCATCCTCGACGTCCATGCGCTGATCGAATTCGACGTCCAGCCCCTGGCTAGGGTACCATTCGATATCGCCGTCGTCGACAAGAATCCCATGCATGCCCAGCTCGTCCTCTGCGCCCATGGCGTCCAGGATCTGCAGCAGAGCGACGTTGCTTCCTGGGGAATTGTTCAAAGCATTTGCATGGACAACCCATGTCAATGGAAATGCGCGCTGGGCAATGCAAGTACACGGCGTGGCCGACGTGCACTTCCACATCCGACTTCGTTGCCTGCCCCAACTCCTGGGCTAAGCGGCCAGTGGCCCCCCGTGCGGCGCATGTTCGGCATGCGCCCAGGGCAAAGTGGAACGCCTGGAGCTTCTGAGCCTCCTGGGGGGGGGGGAGGGAGGAATGAGGAGCTAACGCGACGCACTCATTGCATGCGCCAGCTCGCGCGCACACGGGCCTACGCAAGTACCCCCTGCTGCGGTGCCCCGCAGAGCCGAGGTAGGTGATGCGCCCGCGCACGTGGCACTGCATGCCAGGCGCGCTCGTGACGGGCACTGAGTAAGCCATGGCGGGGCCAGGCGCGCTCGTTGCCGAAGTGAGCGATGCGCCCGCAGGCGCGGCCGATCACTAAGCCAGTGCCTTACTTGGGAGAAGACGGCGATGGCGAACGCGCCACGGGCCAATCAGCGGGGACTGCGCGCGGAGCGAAACAGGGCGAGAGGGAGAGAGGGGGATCTATGAAACAATGCGCCCGTTCGCTGCATGAGCTCGCCTGGAGATTCTTCTTCCCCAACATTCGTTCAGGGTCAGCTGAAAAGATCCTGCAGATAATGTTGTCTATTGGCACTGTAATAGCTTCTAGTGGTTCGCATTCTACGCTCGCAGAGGCACCGCCCGCAATGATACAATGCTAGTCCTCACTGGCAGCCGAACATCGGCAATGCCGAGAAACATCGCCCCTCGACATAGCGCGCCGAACTACGCGGGCCACTGCTTCACTCGTGCCATCACAGGCGACGACGCGTTGAAAGTGCCCAGGGCCTGCTTCAGCTGCTCCGCGGAGTCACCGATCAGGTCGGCCACCGCGCCGTCGAACATTAGCACCGGTACGTTGTACGACTGCAAGTGCGACTGAAAGGTCTCAACCAGGCGCTGCAAGTATTCGTTCTCCTCTGCGAAGCACACTGCCGCCAGGCGAGGCGCCGCTGGGTTCGGGCGGTTGTTGTGCATGCTGGCAAAGTGAGAGTACCTGGGGAGATCGATGAGCTCGGCCGAGAGCTGGTGCGACTCCGCTGCAACAGCCCAGAGGAGGGGGTTGCCGTCCCGCGGCTTGGCGCCGAACACAGTCTTGTAGATCGTCTGGTTCACTTCTTTCCCGTCCATGCTGTAGTAGTCGGCCAGGAAGTCCTTGTGCCCGTCGGGGTCGGTTGCAATCTTCGCGATCTGCTCGGGCGTGGACACCTCGCCCGCGTCGGCGATCTCCTTGATGACGGACGAGAAGGAGCTCGCGAAGTCGACGTCGAATGTCTGGTTGCCGCCAGCCACGGCACGCGCCATGTTGGATAGCCCCTGCTGGGGATGGGCCGACCGCGAACATGCGCCCCGCGCGCTGAACGCACGTCACCCCGAGCACCTTCCCACCTGGAAAGCGTTCGTCATCCCTGCCGTGGGTCCGCAGGTACGACAAATACTTCCTCGGCGTCGCTTTCTCCTCCTTCTCGTGATGGGTGTTTCCGAGGTTACCCATGTAGTTCTGGAGCGCCATCGGATCGCGAACGACTTCGTCGCACGTGCCCTTGACGACGTCATCGCTCATCTGCGTGGGAACCACGGGGTACATCAGCTTGTTGTTCGACTGCACGGTCAACTCTGCGAAGTTGGGCTCGCATGCCTTCGCATATTGCAACGAGTGCATCAAGTCGAATACAACGGGGTATTCAGAATACCGGGGCCTGCCATGTGACGCCGCGATAGCGTCGAACCGCTGCGGGTCCAATGAGAGGCGCTGGAATCCAGCGGATGCCGCGCTCCAGCGAAACAGATAAGGATGTTATGAGATCGCCTTTTTTCATGTTGTCCACCCTGGACGGCGTCTCAGCAGTTTCCTCGTCTGTCTGGGCGCCAGGAATGCATGTCATTTTCTTGGGGGTGTAAGATTTTACAAAGGACTCTTTTGCCTCCGTCGCATTGTGGACCTGGAGCAACAGCGTCGAGCTCGAGTTCGAAAAGGCGGCTTCTGGGTCCTCCCACGGAGCCGTCGCACCGACCATATCGGCAACAAAGCACTTCACTCTCTTCAGCTGGTTCTCTGACGGCTGCGAAAGGTAGCCCAGCACCTTGTCGATCCCGTATTTATGCAGGAAAGGGAACAGCTCGTCGCGCAGGTACATGTACTTCCCCAAGGGAGATGTGAACAAACCGAACACCGTGGGGTCGTCCTGAAAGCGCTTCTCCTGCACGTTCACCTTCGCGGGGTCTGCTTCGAAGGCGGAGAAGTAGTCCACAATCCCCGTCCGCCTGGTCATGGAATCGAGCTTGAGCGCGTCGGGGACCTTCACGTGCGGGGCACTGTTGCACTCCCAGTTGAAGGCGGTGTTCCGCAAGTTGGCCATTAGAGTCACCTTGCCGTAGTTCGGCCTCACGGGGAACTCTCCGCCCGAGAACGTGTTCTTCAGTAAATCTCTACGCGCCGCGGTCGTCGTGGACGCCTCTTGTATAGTGGCGGCCCGACAGAATTCAAATTTGATGCCTTGCTTGCGGTGCCCCTCCTCGTGCTCGAAGCACGTGGACGGGGTGTACTTGTGCGCATCAGAGAAAACGTTGTGGCGGAGGGCAGAAAGCAATGACTTGGAGTTGCCGCCACCACCCACATGGTACACTCATACGTGCGTGTCCTGCCGCCCCAGGAGGCCGAGGATGTCGTTCGCGCGCACCATGCGACGGCCTTCGGGATTTCCCGCAAACGCAGCCATTAGCGCCATCGAACAGTTCTTTCGGTCGGCCTCGGGCGGCTCGTAGGTCAGGTGGTTATACAGGGGGCATTCCATGTGGATGTAGCAGTCGTTCTTCGCTTCTTTCTGGATGCACTCGATGCTCCCACCACGGTGCGCGCCCCCCGTGGCAGAGGATATTTTCGCGCACGCATTGTCAAAGCATAATCTGGTGTGCTCCGTGACAGGGCGGTCCTGCTGAAAGAACTCGGCGCACGCCTTCAGGGCGCCAGGTCCTTTCGTTGCATTCACGAAACGCCATGGCATGTTGGAAAGCGAATGCGCCGCCGCGGTTGCCCAAGTCTTCGCGCTGCGTAGCTCGAAATCTTCCACGGGGGCGACGCTCGCCCACTCCTGGAAGTTTCTCAAGTAGGAAATGACGCTCGCCCGTGTACGTTCCAGCTCCGCCTTCGCCGCCTCCTTCAGCACGAATTTGGCCGCCGTCATCGCCTGCTCCATGCGGATGACGAGGTGCCGAGGCATTGTGTCGACGGCCGGCCAGGCCCCGTCCTCCAGCTCGCACGCGGCATCGGGGGTGAGCCCGAAGCCCGTTCCCGCAGAGCAAGCCAACACCGCGGGCGAGGAGGAAGTCGCTCTTTGGGTCCCAGGCCATGCCCAAGTCCATGTACAGGGCGACAATGGACAGTGCATCCTTTTTGACGAGATCCATGCTCGCCCAAGCCTCGCCGAAGTCAAGTGCCATCTTGTTTGCCAGACGCTTGGTCTCCTCCAAGAGGGTTACCTTCGGTCGTGCCGCTTCTGCCAGAACCTGAAATTTCAAGTAGCTGGCATTCAGCTCGTCAAGCTCATCGTCTTTCCACATATCTGCGTCGGCGCTGCCAGCCGCCGCAGCCAGGCGCGGGCGCGCGCGGCGCTCGACGGGGACATCTGCTGGCGCCGCCATTCGATCGACTGGCGTGGACAGAGAGAGACTCGACGTGGTGAAGTGGGCGGAGTCGCGGCCGTCGGGGCGCAAACCTTCTTTCAGCCAAAACACCAGCAGTGAGGAGACGACTCCTTGTTATGATTGGTTAACGTGTTTCCTAAGTGCCCCATCCTGCTGGACGTTCATCTTGGGTTCTGAGTGGGTGTCCTCCAGAATCCTCTCGTGGCTCTCTCGCGTGGTCTCCCCTGGGGCTTCCCGCGGGGATCGTCCTGGAATGCTTTAAGCTTGGCCTGCTGCACCCCCCAGCCGTGTCATGCTGGAGAGCAAACCTGCGATTGGCAATTGGATGATGTTTTTTTCGTCCTCTCGGGTTCCGAAAGCGGTTGCTGCTCAAAGCTGCTGGCCGCGCTCTCTCTGTCTCTCCCCCTCTCTCCGGCCCTCTCGGTCCGAGTCCGAAGAGGAGGCGTCGCTCCCCATGGCCACGGACGAAGACGAGGAAGAGCCCGAGGAAGAGGAGGAGCTGCTGGACTTCCTGGCGGGGCGCTTCTTGACGATCTCGTTCTGTGCCTTCGCCTTCGCCGCCCTCGCCCTGCTCCTGCGCTGCGACTCCTTGTTCCTCCTCTTCTTCTCCTGCGCTGTCATCGGCGCGCGAGTGCATATCATCGGGGGCGGGGCCTGCGTGCCGCGCAAGCGCCGACCCGCCGACGGAGCTTTCCAAACGTTCTTGTTCATGATCTGCTCGGTGGTCCGCTGCTTCTTGTTCGGGGGCTCCGCCTCCTGCTCCATAGGAGGCCCGCGGGGCATAGCTAACCAACGACAGTGGCATGGACAGCTTGAGCCTGCAACCACCTACGGACTTGACGAGGATGACGGTGATGGCGAGTACGGCATTCACGTGCTGCCGATGACGATGCTGGTGACAAGTTTCATCTTGAATACGGTTCCGATGACAATGGTGGTGGCGAGCATGTATTTCAAGACGGTGCCAATGATGATGATGATGACGATGACAACTATGCTGTTGAATATGTTGTCGATGATGGTGCTGATGACGCGCAGCCACCTGAAGATGATACCGATGACGACGCCGATGACAAGTATTACTCTCAACATGCCGTCGGTGGCCATGGTGGTGACGAGCATGTGTTTCAAGAGGCTGCTGATGACAATGATGATGACAACTCTGCTGCTCAAGATGCTGTCGATGACGGTGCTGATGACATGCATCAGTCTCAAGATGCCGCCGATGACGATGCTGATGACGAGCATTGCTCTCAGGATTCGGTCGATGACAATGGTGATGACGAGCATGTGTTTCAAGAGAGTGCCGATGGCGATGATGATGACAACTATGCTGTTGAAGATGCGGTCGATGACGATGCTGATGACATGCGTCAGCTTCAAGATGCTGTCGATGATGGTGCTGATGACGATGCTGGTGACAAGTATGAGGTTCAAGATTCTGTCGAACAGCTCTGCGTCGGCTGCGCCTCGCCGAGAACGTTCCGGTTGAACCCGAATTGCCCCGAGGGGCAATTTGAGACCCAACCTAAGACCCGAAAGTGGTCCGAGAGTGGAAAGGCGGAGGAGGGGGGGGGGGGGGGGGAGACGATGAGGACCAGGACAAAAGAGTAATCTGAGGAGAGGAATTCGGGGAACGAGGAGGTGCAGGAGGGGCCAAAGGGCTGCCGTCGATGACGATGGCGACGACGTGGAGGAGGAGGAGGGGGAGGAGGGGGGAGACGAGAAGGACCAGGGGGAAAGGAGAATCTGGGGGGATGGGGTTGGAAGGGCGAAGAGGAGGAGCAGGAGGGGGAGCGAGGGCGGCGAGGAGGAGAAGGAGAAGCAGGGGGGCGAAGAGAAGGACGAGGCGCCGCCGACGCCAGCGGGGCCACCTCCTCGCTCAGGGGCTGGGCCCTGGGCCCTGGGGGGAGGTTCCAGCAGCCGAAAACAAAAGAACGGCCCATGGATCCAGCGGCTCCGTTTTTTTTTTCCTGGCCGGGAAAAAAAACGGCGCCAGTGGATCCAGAGTTTTTTTTTTTTTTTTTTTTTTTTTTTGTGTTGTTTGTTTTTTTTTTTTGTCTTTTTGGATGGGGGGGGGGGGGGGGGGGGGGGGCCCCCCCCCCCCCGGGGGCCAGACCTCCCCCCCCCTTCCCCCCCTTCCCCCCTCCCCCCCTTCCCCCCCCCCCCTCCCTCCCCCCCCCCCCCGCCTTCCCCCTTCGCCCGCCACAAAGGAATTCCCCCCTCACCCGCTACAGAGGAATTCACGTTGTACGCCCTCGCACAAATGACATCTATTTGCAACCCCCACAAAGATAATATGTTTGTAATTTCGCAGCCAAACGCATCTATGCGCAAATCCCCACAGAGGGAATACATATGTGACCCCCACAAAGGGAATCAGTTGGCAGCCTCGCACACAAAGGGGATCTGCTTGGCCTGGCGGTCAGCCGCTAGGGCTGGGGGCTGGCAGCCGCAGGCGCTGGCAGGCCGAGGCGGCGTCGCGGGGCTCAGACGCCAGCGAGGCCCCCAGCCTGGGCGGCGACCCCGCCGTGGAGGCGGCCACCCCAGGCATGCCGCCGCAGCGCCTGGCGGACGCGGGGGGCGCGGGCGGCGACGGCGCGGCCGCTGGCCCAGCGCCCTGGGAGCCCGACGGCGCGGCGGGCGATGCGGGCGGGAGTGCTGCGGAGAGGCGCGGGCCTGGCGGCCTCCCGCTCGCAGCGGCCTGCGCTCTGGCAGCAGCGGCGGCAGCGGGGCCTGGCTCGTGCAGCAGCGGCGCAGGGGCAGCGGCGGGGCAGGCGCCAGCGAGGCCCAGGGGCCCGCAGCGAGGGGCCCCAGGCAGGCAGCCGCGGGGCGAGGAGGCCAAGCCAGGGGCGCAGCTGGGCCACGCCTTGCGCACCGCTGGCGGCTATGCTTTCCGCTGCAGGCGCGGCGCCTTCGCCGGGATCGAAGGCGCGGACCGCGCCGAGGGCCTCAAGGCGGGCTGCGCGGGCCGACTGCCGCCTGGACCTCAGGCCACGGCGGGCCAGAAGAAGACAAGGCAGTATTTGACGGGGCTGCTCGGCGCCAAGGACCCCTACACGGGCAAGCCGCTTGCGTGAGGGTGCTGCGCCTGGTGCAGTGCCGCCCGCTGGCGGCCCTGCTGGCTGGCGGCCGCGCCGCCGTGCGGCCCCTGGGCGCCGCTGCCCGCGCTGCTGGCGGGCCCTGCATGCTGGCCGCGCGGGCCCCCTTCGGCCGCGCGCCCCGCGCGCGGCCGCCTCCCAGGCGCGGCTTGCGGGCTCGCTGCTGGCCGCGGCCTGGGGCCTTCTCGGCTGCGCGCCCGCGCGCGGCCGCCTGCGGCCTGCTAGGGCGGGCCGCCCTGGTGCTCGGGCACGGCGCGCGAGGCGCCGCGCCCCTGCGTGGTCGGGCCGCGCGCGCCCGCCGCGCTCGACGCGGCGCGCTCGCGCCGATGGGGCGCGAGAGTGAGAGAGAGAGAGAGAGAGAGAGAGAGAGAGAGAGAGAGAGAGAGAGAGAGAGAGAGAGAGAGAGAGAGAGAGAGAGAGAAGAAAAAAAAAAAAAAAAAAAAAAGAGAAGAGAAAGAGAAAGAGAAAAGAGAAAGAGAAAGAGAAAGAGACAGAAGAATAAGAAAAACAAAAAAAGATAGAGAGAGAGAGAGAGAGAGAGAGAGAGAGAGAGAGAGAGAGAAAGAGAGGGAGAGAGAAAGAGAGAGAGAGAGAGAGAGAGGGAGAGACAGAGAGAGAGGGATATATATATATATATATATATTTGTTTAAGCTTGCTGATTAATGATATGCAAAAGACCGAAACACGCCGTCAACACCGATCTGTAGTTTTTCCTGGCTCGAGCCCCCCCCTCCCCGGGGGGCAGGGGGGAAACGGACCGGGGGCCCTTGATGCTGGGCCAGCTTGCCCAGGCCGCCGTGCTGGGGGTGGCCAACCTGGGCGGCGCGTGGTTGGGGAAGTGCCAGCCGCCACCGTGCCCAGCCTCGCCGGCCTGCCCGCCGGCGGGCGCTTGCACGTGCCCGCCAGCGCCGGCGGTCTCGTGCCCGCAGGTGAGCGTCACCTGCCCGGCGGTGCCGGCCGTGGAGGCCCGCGCCTGCCCCGAGGCGCCCGCGGCGCCAGCGTGCCCGCCTCCGCCCGCGTGCCCACCGAGCACGTGCCCGGCGGAGGCCGCCGAGGCGCTGGGCCGGCAAGACTGCTGGCCGGAGACGCGAGTGGCGCTGAGCTTCGCGTGCGGGCTCGGCGGCGCGGCGGTGCTGGTCGGCTTCGTCCTGGGTACGTGCTGCGCGAGGCGCCATGCAGGCGCGGGGCCATCCGCAGGGCACCCTGCATCTGGCCGGTCGCAGCTGTCTGGTGAACTACGGGGCCGCGGAGTGGCACTGGAGAATAGTGCTCGCCGGACTGGTGTCCTCGGACTCCCGGGCCGTCATCCTGACGCCGGATGGTGACATGTACATTGAGGACTTCAATGACGCCGTCGCCGTGCGTTGGTTGGGCCCGAACAACGAGGTGCCAGAGGGCGTGCCGCGGAACCTGATCTATCACTTCGGTCAGTTCCCGTCGGCGGCGACGCTGCGCAGACTGATGCAGGAGGGTG